GGCAGAGGAAGAGCTGTGAGTGCTGCTGGAATATCCTGAGCTGGGAGGGACCCTCAGGGATCGTTGATCCAGCCCCTGTCCCTGCACAGACCCCCCAACAATCCCACCCTGAGCATCCCTGAGAGCGCTGTCCAAACGCTCCTGGAGCTCTGGCAGCCTTGGGGCCGGGACCATTCCCTGGGCAGTGCCCAGCACCCTGAGTTCTGGTCATACTGGTGATTTTTAAATTTGAGTTAACAAACAAAGAATGTGATTATAGAAAAGGATAATGATTGCTTCAATATACATATATGGAAAGAGCTTTTGGGCACTGTCTTATTTGTGTTTCAAATCACATATTGGAGCTTCTCATACCACAAAATACAAAAGGTCTTTTTTTATGAAGAGGTGAAGGGAAAGATTGAACTCTTAAAAATTGCTCTGTGGTCCAACCTGCATGGCCTGAAGGGCAGCAGGAGTTGGTGTCTGTAGCAGGACTCAGCTCTGGGTGTGTGGGACAGGAGCTTTGTGTGCTGGGAGCACTGGTGTGCTCAGAGTTACAGCAGCAGGGGCTCCTGTGCTCACTTGTAGCAACATGTGGATGGAGAAACCTGTTGTGAGAATCGGAAGTGTGAAGCTGTTCAGTCCTGCTGGCTGAAACTGTGCTCCACTGTTTTCCATAGAATCTTGGATGGTCTTCGAAGTGACTTTTGAGAAAGTATCTGCTTTCTTTCTGTTATTTTTTCCAATGAAATATCTTGGCAAAAACTATTGAACTTTCTCTGAGAACTCGCGTTTCAATTTAAAATTCAGTGTTTAGGTGGAAGACCAGAGCTCTGTGAAAAGTTCTCTGGAGAGGGTTGGCTGCAACAACTCAATGTGTGTTTAAGCTTGATTGGTTTAAAACTTATTGTGAAGAGCTTTGGGCAGTCTCAATAATTACTGCAACTCTTTACTTTAAATACTTTCCACGTTAAAGAGATAAGGGTGATTGTGAAAAGCTTCCATTTATGTGGCTCAGAAGATTCCAAGGGCCCCTTAGATGACATAAATCCAGGAACATTGGAAAGTACATGCAGGCCAGGAGCAGCACGTAGTGTGCTCCATCCCCTCCAGTGCAGGGAGGAGGGAGGGAGGGAGAGCAGCCTGGAGCAGGAGGAGGGTGAATGGAGCTGCTCTTTGTGACAGGGAGCACCGTGGTGCCATCATCTCATCTCGTGACTGGGAACAGAACACAGAGGCTGCTTGAGCCTCGGCCAAGAGGCTTCTGCACGCAGGAGTCCAGGATTGATGAAGTCTGTGGGAGGCTCTTCCTCAGGAGGTTCCACTGCCAGAGCCCTGTGGGTGGCAGAGTCCAGCACGACACACGAGCACAACCTGCTTGCAGCCTGAGTCATGGGCACTGCAGCTGGGAGAAATAATATAAAACACCTGAACTGAGCCAAAACCCCACATCAGAGCCGTGGCCGAATTGGAGACCCTCCAGGCCACCTTTGGGGGTGCAGGGTTGGCTGTTGGCTGAGCAGGGAAAGGTTGATGAGGCTGCTGGTGCTGCAGCAGAGCTGTCAGCAATCACCAGCAGTCCTCCTAAGCTGCGGATTCAGTGTTTATCCCCTGGGCATCCAGAGGAGTTAAAGCTGCTGCTCTGAGCTCTGGTGTGTCTGACCTGAACCAGTGCATCAGTTTGGGATGC